GAGAGAACAGAAGTCACGGAAACTTCAGTGACTACACACAACAAGGAATACACACTTTGCAATAATAGTTTGGAAAAGTCACACACTGACAACTCCAACCCTCAAGAAAGAAAAATCAGCAATCCCTGAGGAGGGGGTAAACCAGATTTCTAGAGTTATCACATTTATTTTCAAAGGAATAAGTTTTACGCATCTCACTGACTGAAGGAATTAGTCACACCCTAAGGAATGTTTGAGAATTAATCTGTTAAAGACTAAAATTAAACATTAAGATACAAAATTACACATAATAAATAGTATAATTGAAAACTGTACAATTCAGGACTCATGACATTTCCTTATAACCACTTTCAACTCCATAATTACTCTGTCTTTCCTGTAAATAGCACCTCTCAGTACTCAGTCTTACAAGTTATTAAAGCAAGGCGCATTTTTATATATTAAACTAACAAAATAACAGTCTGGGTGAGATTATGGCAGAAGTGTTTCACTCATACATTGCTCTCATATTTTTTAATATATAATATTAAATTTAATTAAATTAATATTTAAATTAATAATTAATTTAATATAAATTAAATTAATATTTTCATATAAAATTAATGTCTCCAAATAGTTATCAAGTACAAACCAATGCTCCAGACGCTCCCTGAAGCACCATCTGGTACAGGCACCCTAGCTGAGAAGGCATTGGAAGTGGTATTATAATCAATATGCAATATTGACTATAACATCAACTGTTGCAGGTTTGGCCACATATGAGGAGTTGGACTCAGTAATCTCACACTTAGGAGTGAGGGAGATTTGGGGGAAACAACCCAACAGAAGCAACAACAGCTCATCAAAATTTGACCTCGGGAAATAGGGTCACTGCAAATGTAATTAGTTAAATTAGGATGAGACCATAATGCAGTAGGGTGGATTTCTAGTTCAGTGTGACTAATGTCCTCATACAAAGACAGCCACGTGAAGACAGACCCATGGAGAATTTCATGTGAAGGAGAAGGGTTGGAGTGATGCAGCAATGAGCCAAGAAATGCCAGAGATTGCTACAGACTGCCAGCACAAGGCAAGGAAGGACTCTATTGTAGATTTTAGAGGGAGTGTGGCCCTGGCAGCATTATGATTCTGGACGTCTAGCTTCCAAACTGAGACAATAAATTGCTTTTGTCTTAAGCTGTTACGGCAGCCTAAGGAATCAAATACAGTGGTCAACTGATTTTTGACAACGACACCAACCAGGCAATGTGGAAAAACGTGTCTTCAACAAAGTTGAGAAAACTGGATTTTCATTTGCAAAAGTATGAATGTGGACCCTTACCACATACTATATATAAAAATTAACTCACAAAATGGATCAAAGACTCAATTTAAAGGATAAAACTTTGTAGTTTTAAAGAAAACATAGAGGAAGATTTTCATGACCATGAATCTAGCATCGACTTCTTAAATGGCACCAAAAGCACAGTTAATAAAACAAAAAAATAGATAAATTGGACTTCATCAATATCAAAAACTTTTATGCATCAGAGAACACTATTAAAATATTTTCATATTTTTGACAACTAATTTTTCTTTAATTTTCTTAACTGTCGGAAGTCTCTGAAGTATAAAAATTGCCCCAAATTTAATCATAAATAATAAAAAATAAAGCCATGTTGAAATTATTTTGACATAATGTATAATTTGCATTTTAAAAATATGTCTATGGGGCACCTGGGTTAAGCCTCTGACTCCTTTTTTTTTAAGTTTATTTTTTATTTTTTAAAATTTACATCCAAATTAGTATATAGTGAAGCAATGATTTCAGTACATTCCTTAATGC